TCGTCTTATTTAGCAGCGTTGCTGCAATAACAACTGCAACAACAACCGCGAAATAGTGAAGACTCACAGCAGACGCGGCAGGTCGGGCAGACGGCGCATCAACGGCTCAGCGGCCAGAGCTGAACTTGGGGGAGAGGGGAGTCAGAAAATAGAAGTAGCACCACTTCGGCACTCGACGAGAGATTTGCTAGAAAAAGTAGGTAATGAAATAAATTGCAGACATTTTTAAAATATGTTAATTTCATTTTTAAAACTGCGTTTAATGCGTTGAGCAGAGCCACCTCCACGGTGCCCGTCTCACAGCCGATGTCCATATCGGAGGGTTGTTTATTGACGGCAGACTCAACAAGCTCAAGGTATGAGTTCGCTGCTGAGCGATTACGCTGTTGAATGTTTTGTGATATTTAATTTTGAGTACATTCTACTTCCCAGAAATCAACGGCGATGGCACCGTTGGTGATCATAGAAAAATGTGCGAGTGTTTGAGTTTTTGGTGGAGTGTATGTTAACCTTCTTCCTGGAAGTGTTAATTATGCTGCTCGTGAAATTAAGTATTAAGCATTTAGATTATTTTAGTGTTTCTGTGCAAAACTTTCTGCAACGTCAACATAACTGTACTTTTGTGAAATATTAGTGACTCAAGTGACTGTATTGTTTCAGGTAGAAATGATTTTGACTCATTCGAAGACTCTTGGAATATCTTAAGCAATCTATGTGCTTTCTTTTATTATAAAAACTTTAACATTTTGCGCATGACTGTGAAATTGTTAGATCACGATCGTATTTGGAAGCTGTCATCAAAATTAGTCAATAGTTATAACAGGAGGAATCATCGAAAGCAGGAGTGCGGAACATTAGTTCGCTAAACATAACCGACTCCCAATCAAGACTCTCCCACGGAACCACCGGCTAATTATTACTTCGTGGGAGGACAAGACATTTAAGTCTCCCTATTGTGCGGCTTTCCAAATTTTTCCATTTATCAGTCGACTCATGAGTGTCGTTAAATTGTTTACCCTAAAACTACCACCGAGTGTGGATTTTAGTTTTTCCTTATATTTCAAAATCGAAGGCAATAAAATAATACATCTTCAGAGTCTTCTATATTCTTTGTACACGTCAGATAGTTCGGACTAAGGTCATTGTGGAATCTGAAAAGGTAGTTTCTAAATCACCCATGTCCACTAAGTATTTGGGTCCGATATAAATCTAGGTCTCAATGTCGTCTGTCTATCCATGAGTGTAGGTTCGGTATAAGTTGGTGGATCTAGCGCCCTTTGGCTGAGGAATTCCACTGCTCCAGCTACATTTTAGTCAGTACATCGACATCGCCTTCGTCTAAGTTAATTACTCCCACAAACTATTACTCTTGAATTTGTTAGTACATTTCATAGATGTAATGGTATTCAGGATGTACTTAGGTGGTTCAATTTACCTCTTGTTCGAGAATTTTTTATTGAAAATAAATTTTGTGTTTGTTTTTTTTTATAAAATATGCAAATTATGCATATTCAATTAAAAGCCATCACAAATCAAATGTTTGAATCATCCATTTCCATACAATAACTTTATGTCATAGCAGTTTCAAATGATGACTTTTATTTTTAGGGATATTTATAAAAGTGCTGAATTGCTGAAAAGGACAAGTGCTCGGAGCATTTCTCTTATACACACTCACTGGAAGAATCGGTTGAATCGTTGGAAGTGCGCAAGTTTGAGCCAGAGAGCGTGACTTTTCTCTTACGGAGTATTTTTGAAAAGAGGGATATTTGTACATATATATATCGGCCAGTAAACTAGAGGTCCGTGGCCGACTTTATTATTAGCCCATCATTGCATACATCATATGTATTCTAAGGAAATTTATGGTAAATTAAGTTTTCAATTAACTTAGTAAGTAAATAGACCAAATCATTTCAGTTGCCGAAACTCGTTTCTTTTTTTTTATCAGTATTGAAGCAGCGTGGAAAAGCAAATCACATATTTGATAAAACGTCGGTTGTCACACTTGCTTAGTGGTTAAGAAATAATTTTTCGTATTTCAGTTTCGCTTTAAAATTGTCATCAACATTTAACGGTATATCGCACGTTCAAAACACTTTTATTTCTGCCAAATCATGTGTTACTTGTACGTGTGCGCTTATTTATTTATGGCGCTGAAAAGTATGCTATTTGAAAATTTAATGCGTTCAGCAGAAGCAGAACATGCGTAACGCAGCTGATTCCCACCGCCTCGGGATAGGCCCTTGCTGCCAGCGCCGTCATTCATCATGCAACAAAGATAAGCCACTTACAGCAAATGTTGCCGCAAGTGAAAATGCAGTTGTAACAACAACAACCTACTCAACAATATAACGAATGGGCGAAAAATATTGAGGGCAACAAAAACAAAAACGTAAGATGCCCGCACTTGCTTGCTTGAAACGCTACAAAGTGTAGCGGACACTGCTCTGTATGTATGTAACGCCAAATTTCCCACAAAATCACGAGCCGAGAGCAGCCGTACTTTGAAAACAATTGTACCCACTATTAAATATGACTTGCAGCAGCAACGAATGGTAGCTTACAAGCGTTTGCGCTCCGCGTGTGCTCGCGCTCTCGGATGTACAATTAGTTTTTCGATTCTGTAACACAGAAATTGGGAATTTTCTGTGAGGCAAAAATATCCTGTTGGCCGAGGAGCTGTTTCGTCAATGTTGTCAGCGTCGCTCGTACCTTTCGGCACTCGTAGCGCACGTTGTTCGTGTTCGTACGGTTTTATGCTGTCTCGCTGGCTGCTGGTTCGCCGTGTGTGCGCGACCATAAAATTTTTCGCCAAGCAGCGCTCAGTTTCGTATTCGTATTTGAACGTGTCGTTACGTCGTGTTCGCAGGGTACGCGTGCTGATTTGAAAAACAAAAGTGTGGCGCTAGCTGACGCACAAACAGTTCCTCTGTGGAAAACTGTGTTCGTTCGTTTGTTCGTCAAAGCCGCTATAAAACACTGTTAAATCGAAGTAACATAGTAACAAATTATCATTCCCGTGTGTGTGTATGTGTGATATACTTGGTGTGGTTTTGAGTTAAACGGTCATTCCGCAAGAGTTTACGCGTAACGGTATGCTGTGGGTGGAGTGATTATAATTACTGAAAATAAAATAAATTCAATTCAAAATTTGTTGAGTGACTTTTGTGGTTGAAAATAAAAGAAACACTTTTAAAAGTATATAATGCAAAAGTAATTAGAAAAGTACTTAGATTACTGCAAACACTTTAAAGTGTCTACAACTTTCAAAGTGAGGCTAAGGGATACATTTACCTCTACTTGAGTCACTACAAGTGTCTCACATGCTTCCGTTCAAATATTGCATTTCAAAACTAGAAAAAAAAAATTGATTTATTCAAGAATTTCTGTTGACTCGGTTTTTTGGTAAATTCTCTGTTAATAGCGACATTCATCAACGGTAAATAACTGAACACTCGCTAGCCATCATCAAGACGGACAACAAATAAAGGATTGATAATAAGCTTGGCTCGTTGTACTAACGCCAATCGCTACTTTGACTTAGTCCTTACTGAATTCTGACAGATATAGTCAGACATCAGTTAGTAAACAGTATAAATAAACAGTTTATCAAGTTGTCAGCTGCGTCCTTCAACTGTCAGAAAGCAGCCAAATCGCTCTGCTGGCGAACCGCAATAAACAATTCGTCTGATAATTATATCCTCGCGCATAGCTGTAAGCGCACATAAGAACTTTAATAATACATGTGCAGCGACACGCATAATAAGTGTTAATGTGACTAGTGAGTGTGTGTGCAACCTGCGTAAGTGTGTCAGTGGGCACGTGAGTATTTGCTTAAGCAGCGCGCAGCTCATCCCGCGACTCCTCGTAATCGCGTTTCAACATCACATTCCGCGTTTGCGGCGTTGCATGCGCCGAATGCCACTCGTATAACAAAGAATAAAATAATTATGCATGTGTGTGTGTGTGCGTAATTGTGCACTCTCATATTATTATATTTATATGCACATTTCATCACGCATGCAGCACGCAGCGCCGAACAGCGTGAATGTTAATGAAATGAAGTCACTTCTGTAATTGTTATGAGAAATTGTGGAGAATAAAAAAATCATTTCAACAGAAACAGTTAAAAGCTGAAAAGTGAAATAATAATAAAATTAAAAAAAATATATAAAATAAAAATAAAGGAATTAGATAAAGAAAAAATCAATTCAATTGTGTTGAGGGAAGTGCGCACGTCATTCAGCGACTCGTCTGCTTGCAAGTGCTGTAGTGTGTGTTCGCGGCGCGTTGCATATCCACAGGCGCATACCGAGTGCAAAATTTACACACTAGCATACTTGTGTGTACATAAAGCGCCGTAATTGTGTCAGTGTCATACGCAACAATGGAAGCAACAACAGCAGACCGTTATTGTGATATATGAGCACGGCAACGAGAAAATCCCAATGCCATCTGCGACGCCACATCAACCATTGACAGCAGCATCCCGTCATCATCGTCGTTAATATTTGTGTGCATGTGTGGCGGCGTTGCGCGCTTCTTCTTTATTACTCTAGGTCGTGCTGCTGCCGCAACTACTTAGGTTGCAGCAAATAAATGTGAGCGCTCCGCCGTTATTTTTGCCGCTCTTTGTTACTTTCCATTGCTTGCACATCTTCAAAGTCATCGCCAACATCTTGAGCAATATTCGCATCATTCGCGCAAACGAGCGTGTGACAAGAAGGCGCGCAGTGTGCTAGTGGTGGAACGTTAGAAGCCGCGCCGTGCTGTGCACATGCTACAACGCACACCCACATCGGGACGGCGCCGCGCGTGTAGCCGTGCAAATTTCACACAGCGTAGTCAAAGCGCGATCATTGTGCTTTTTTGCGTGCATTTCTCGGTAAAGTAGTGCCTCCTGCCACACAGTTCGTAGCCACACTGCTCATCGTGCTACATGACAAGGTCGTTTGCGCAGCAGTAACACACACGCCGTAATTGAGATTGTCAGCTGCTGGTGCGCTCCGTGTGGCGCGGTAGACCGCAAGCGTTTAATCACCATTTGATGAACTGGTGCTGGCTCGGGTAAGTTGCAGCGAATAAATATACTCGTGTACATATGTTTCAAAGTTTTTACAACCAAATACATCATGCTGCTGCACGCTCGCTGGCGTCCTCCCCGCTGCACGTTAGTTAATTGTTTTTTGTTGTTTTGAAGCGGGTGCGCGCTAAAAAATTGATTTGCGGGGGGGAGAAGAAAAGTTGTCAATGATTAATTGCTTGCTTTTGTGCTGAAAATACAACAACGTTGCATATAGTACATGTTTCTACATGAATTTGGCGTCGTTTGTGAGCTTAAAGGTAGATACATGGGATCTAAGGTCTTAAATCGACTTTGCACTTTAAAAGCTCCGATCAAAATATTGTAGTCAACACTTTGAAACGTTCTCAGTTCTGTACAATATGAATGAGTTTTTTAACAAGCCAGTAAATATCAGCAGAAAGTGAGGAAAACGTGAAAAAATAGTTTCTTATCCAACTTCTACCTAAATATTACCCTTGATCTAAAAATCATTGTTGTCATGATTCACTAAATATTTCTTAGTTCAAATATAATTTCATAAAGCAAATTCGACTTTATTATTAAGTGTACCGAATTATAGCTACTTTCTTGGTTTCGTAGTAAATATATTTTTTTCAAAAAATATGCTTCAGTCTCTGCTATTTACTATCAGTAGGAGGAGAGGAAGAGGGTCAGATCTGCACTATACTTTGTGTGCTGGAACATGGCAACTAAATGTTCACCATCTTCTTTTAATATTGTAAGAGTGTCGGCAATCTCGATCGGAAAAGAAAATGTATTGCTTATCAACCTAACTTAAGAATAAATACTAACTATATATAATATATGGACCAGTCAATAAAGTTGACACATGAGACTGATTTAAATATATTTTTTATTCATTGAATCTCCTTCTTCAAAGCCTAACTGTAAGTAATAAAATCTCAAATCTACATGAAACTATTCAAACTAAAGGTTCTTTACCGTTTTCTGAAACGTTGCACTTTAGAAGATCTTTCTTTTTAAGCGAGTTTCATTACAGAACTGCAGCAATGGATTGGTTAATGGACTTGGATGTTTACGTAATTTAAGTTCATAGTTCTTTCTGCTGTCCTCTGCTTCCATCTTCGTCATAAAGAATGCCGAGCTTTTTGTGAATATTTTCATTTCGAATGTACCAATGTGAAATGCTCTTGGATTGCAGCCTCTGTATTATATCATTGTTAGTTGAAAGAGTTGGTGATCAAGCATCAACATATGTTTTGTGATCGCGTTGAATAACAAGAATATGTTGTCAAGGCAATATGTTGAATTTTTATTTAAAAATTAGTTTAAATTTGCTGCTGTTATCCATGCTATTATTTTTATATTATTTTGCTGGATATATGTTTCTCCATGTTAACCTTCTGAAGTTAATGTCGAGATACATTACATAATTTACTTGTGGTCCCATATTTATATGTATAGGCTAATACAGTTTAGGTCTTAGTGAAACACTTTCATTCATCCTTTAATTTATATTGGGTAGTCGAAAAAATTCTTTCGTATTTTTAATCGAACTTCAACTTATTATTTTTTACACTTATAATTTACTTTAGCGAACCATTGCTGTGCTGCACCAACTTACAGCATCGTCTCCGTAAACTACACAAATTTCATTGGTGGCTTGCGTGGCATTCTTCCCTTTTTTATACAAAATTTTCAAAGTATGAATTTCTTCATTATTTTCACTCATTTTTCAATAGCAGCAACTTTTTTCAATCGAAACAAATTTTTTTTTGGTCAAATGAACTTAAAATTTCACTTTTCTTACACTATATGGTTAGTAGCACTGGAGATATGTGACTGCAACTACATCTATTGGCAAAAAAAAAAAAAAAGAAGAAAATTTACTCGAAACTTAAACGAAATTATATTGCAGTAAATTAAAAAATATTCAATAATACTTCGGAAAAAGGGTTGAAAATTGAAAGAGAGATGAAGCTTGGGGATTCAACGGTGTTATATGCAGAAAACCATATTGTCAATAATTTGTAGAAGCAAGCTCAAGAGGTTTGAATCCATCTACGTGAACAGGAATCACTTCACCTCCATCGCGTCCAGCAAGCTCCTGGGATTGTTCAGAGTGCTGGACGTTTGTGACCATATGTGATGTATGAGAGGGCACAATTGGCCCTAGCTTGGAAAGTAGTTGGGTTAAGGTTTACATATTTTTCCACAAATTTCTTTTAGATCATTTATGTAAATGCAAATTGTTGACAAAGTTTACTTTGATAATAATGCATTATTCGAATTGGTTATTGTTGTCGGTGTTTTTATAATTTGCAATTTAGTAGTATTTATTCCATTTTGCTCAGGCTGTCAAATTTACGTATTCTTTTCTCAACATTTCTTGCATGATCGTTTGTTCGCTCCTCAAAATGTTTTAACCAGAAAAAAGTGCAGTATTTTCTTCCCTTCTCAAAACGTAGGGATGGGAGTTGCTCAGCGGTTGTTTATTTATCGTTTTATCGTTATTTTTTTAATCAAATCATTTTCTCCTAATTATTACGAATCGCTCAATTTGTTAAGACCAATGCTGGAATATTTGAATGGGTTAGTCTTAATTTTTTGTGCTTTTGTCATGTAAACACAGGAACATTTTTACAAGACCTAATGAGGCACTTATATAATGAATAATTTTTCGAGAAAAGAAAACGTTATAGGTGAAGGTTATAGCCATTTTTGCATGTTTCAGAAGAAAGTGCCGTGCATAAGCAAAAATATACGAAAAGTTAGAGATTTTGTTAAGACTAATTTGTTAATATATTTATATATAATTTTTCTCTGATTTCGACTAGTGTTTGGGGCTATACCATCGCTGGAACGGTTTTAAAACCAATCAGCCGTAAAAGCAAATATCAACATAATGACCTTAATAAAAACTATTTCATTAGTAGAACATCAGTGATGTGTTTTTTCCAAATAGTCTTTTTCAAATGGCTAATTACGTGCGAGTAGTATTTGGCTAAGGGGTATTAAGGGCTTATACTTTATGTTCACCAAATTAAAATTGTGTAAATAAATCAATCTGTTTCACATTTTTTCATTTCTAAATTTTTTCATTTAAATTTTTACAATTTTAATTGTTTTATTTGAAAATTCGTTTATCTATGTTTTAAGCCGATTATTTAATGCAGCGGCAGTACTTGTTTAATATTGTATAAGCGCCATTAAAGTGACAAGAAAAAAAGGATAGTTCGTACGAATGGCACGCTTAAATCAACAAGCACTGAATGCCACACTAAATTATGTGAAATAAGATTTCGTGTTTCGAAATAAAAGCGGATTTGCATGTGAACAAGGTAAACAACACGGTAAATGCGCAAAACCGAAAAATAAAGGGTATTTTTTGCCAACTTAAAAGCCAAAGGCCAAAGACAAATTTTTGAGTGCTGCGCATGAAGGAAAAAATAACATTTGTGCGCGTGTATGTATGTGTGTGTGTGTGTGTGTGTGTGTGAAAAGACGGAAAAAGTGAGTAAATCACAAAAGCGAATTTTACGTTTCTACGCGCATGAGAAGCAATTGAGGGAAGCCAGCTAGCAAAGCACTGGATGTGAGAGTAAGTGCAGGTACATGCTGGGAGCCAGGAGCTAGGGAGGCGCTTGAGTAGCTGTTCTAGTCGTATGCGTCGTACCGGCGCGGTTTTATGGTTTTTGCTTTATCTGTGTTCGCTTTTATTTTCTTTAAATATTTTGCGTTATTTTTTGCCTTTTGAGCAAATTTCCCCTATGAAAAAGCGTAATTTTATGCGAAAATTTGCACTCTGCACCAGGTACAAGAGCAGGGCCCCATGTGGAGGAGGCTGTGTGTGTGTGTGTGTTGGTGAAAGAATAATAATTCAAATGCTAGAATTACCTCAACATAACCGTGAATGTGCGCTCGAAATGGTTATGGTGTTCGCAAGTTTCGTAGCCACACACACGCTGTTTCCGCGCTTCCCTTCTAGTGAAATGTTTTTTTCCTTCTTTTCATCTGCATTTGCAATTTGCATACAAACACGCAGAAATGCAGCAACGCCTTGGCGCGGCTTTCGCTCAGAAACTATTGTTGTGCTTAATTCTTCTAAGTCGAAAGTTGGGAAACCCTCGTTGTTGTTGCTCGTGTAGTCTTAATCCAGAGGCGGTACATATGTAGTTAGCTTTTAATATTTCTTACTCTTATATGCGCACAATTATTGAACATGCCACGCGAGAAGTAAATGTTCCGCCTGAAGGAAATATTTCGCATAACTTTTTAAAGCAAATATCACTAAATATTGGACCGAATCGTAAACAATGACAGAATTCAATTGGGATCTTTTAATGTGCAAGAGGTGCGTGCCACGAAAGTAGTCTGGGTTGTTCCTCTTATAGGATGCTGTATATCACTTAGGATAGAAGGCAGATTCAAGTCTCCAATTCTGATATTATACACTCTCAGTGGGAGAGAAGCTAAAAGGCGAAGTTTGGCTTTGTTCGCTGTTTCCAAGTGAGGTCAACAAGCAGTAATGAAATGACTCCATTCTGGATTCGGGCTGAAAACCTGAGGCGATTTCAGTACCAAAGTAAATTTAGTTAGAACCGAGTTTTAGATATTTTGTGAAAACGTTTTATAATCACTTCATTTTATCTTCTATCAATTCTTCATTGGTGCTTTTTTTCATTCCGCCAGGGATTCCTGTTGCTGGCATAAACCATATAAAGCCATATGACAACAGAGCAAGTCTTAGTCGCGCAAAAAAAGGTCCGTGTTGCTAGAAGAAACAGCAAATAATAAATCCGTAAACACGTTGTGATAACTTAAAGCCAACTAAGTGGGTTTTCATATGCATATGAGTTAGCTTAAAATATGCCATTGCTTTGGATTGCGAGCGCACCTTCTAACTTGCCACTGTATGCGTCCTTTTTAGATTCTTTGTTCAGCTAGAACATATTGGGGAAAATGAAGAAACTAAGCTAAATCTACCGAAACCATAACAGCAAATTTAAATGCGCATAAA